TAAAAATTATGAAATTGATTCTTTGAAAGATCTGGAAGAGAGAGAAGATTGAAAGAATGGGTGCCTGTGTTAGAGCCATTACGAGACTAAGCCTGGTAAATATCATCAGACGTCTGCTCCAGTATCTAATAAGGTACTGGAGCAGACGTTTGGTGATATTTACCAGGCTCCGTCTCGTATGCGTGAGTTTTTGGTGGTTGTACAGTACAGGCCAGAGAACATACCACATTCATCGAAATTCATATTTATTTGATCTTCAGAACAACAAAGTTAGCGTTGAAAAAGTTTTAACAACAAAACTTGACAATGATGAGAAGAAGAAACTTTTTTAGTCCGAGGCAGTGGCGGTGTAAGAGCCATTACAAGACGGAGCCTGGTAAATATCATCAAACGTCTGCTCCAGTATCTCACTAGTACGTGTGAGTGCCTCTGTTTCCCATATGTTAGCCTCGGGACCTGGAAAACAACGTTGATAACAATCCTAAATCTTTATATAAGGAAGGAACACCTCCTGAGAATGTATCAAAAAGAATTGGAAAAATACCTGTATGAGTCGTATCTGCGAGGATACAAGCCCTTCTGACTTGTCTTTTCAGTCTACGAACGATATCGTTCAAGGAAGAAGTCTAAAGAAAATGTTAAGGTATGGAATGATTACGATTTAAAACAGAGAAACGTACTTCATCTATTTCGGGTCTTCCAATCGAAGTGTCCAGATATCCCCGGACTGAATAATCAACATTTTTAGAAATATTAGAAAATGTTTAAAACATATATAGTGTAAAAGATTTTTTTTGTATATTTTTAATGAAGGATTCGCGTACCTGAGGGGTGCCGAAGTAAGGTGTTGATTTCTGTAATATTTCCAACGAGAGCTGTTATTACTACGTCCCTAGTGTCCCTATCCATATCTCCAAATCTAGGATTTATAAATTTTAAAATAAAGGGAAATTTCTGAAAAATCTGGAATTCATTTACTCACTTCCCGGTGATTCGACTGGTGACTGCCTGGGAAAGCACAAGTAGCGAACGAGCTTGATTCTGAAATGAAATTTTCATTCCATACATCCTATACCTACAAGGAGTTGAAAATTGAGGTTGAACTTACAGAAATATAACGGGGAGCCATGTGAAACTTGCAGAAACAGCACTCTCTAAAGATATTTGATGAATTCAAGAAAGAGAAAGAGAAAGAGAGAGAGAGAGAACGAACTTAAAATTAAAAAAGAAACTAAATTAACACTATGTAAACAATGCGGAAACTACAGAAACATAAACAACGTGTTGCGTGCTGAGTAGCGTGTGCCTTGTTGAGCTAGAGCACATGTGTGACTGTGCTCGGTCAGAAAGAGGAAGAGATAAGGTGGCACCCTAACATTTAAATGTCTCATAATATAATGTAATCTCTCAAAGATTTATGATATATTTTATGTTTGACTTCACTTATAAGCATCCAAACAACCTTCTCATATACACCTCCTAACATGGGTGGTACTGTTGGATGTGTTGTTACGGTAAGT